GGTTGTCCCAACCTTGATCTTGGAGCTCCCTGAAGGAAAGGGCCGTAGATCCCAGCCTCGTATCCACATCCTCAGAGTAACAGTAGACTCTGTGTTCAGTGGCACAGAATAGGGCGAGGTTCAGCCCTACTATTCATGGGTCACTATCAGTCACAGTCAGTGGTCCTAACAGTGACACCATGTTCAGTGAGCACCCGTTAAACGGAAGCCTAACCTAATGAGAGAGCTCATTGCCACTGAGTTAGCGCTGACTCGTGACTGACCCTCCATCGGGTTTCCAAGGCTGTCAGTCTCCGGGAAGGGGATGCCCATCTCTCTCATTGGAGCACTGGTGGATTTGAACCAGCGAGGTGGCACATTTGCATTGTGCAGCTCCCTCTGGCCTAGACCACCACGGCTCTCTAAACTAAAGAAGAGGAATGATCTCAGGAACTCTCTCTGGCCAATGAATGACCATGTCCACAGACGGGAAAATGCTAAAAGGAAAGATGTAATCATGAAAGAATTCAAATGCTGTTCTGAGAGATCCGTCCGGACAGATGACAGCATAGTCTGGTACAGAATCTCGTAGGCTTTCTTGCTCATAACCGGACAGTTGGTTTATTTGTTATGCTTGTTGTCAAATGAGCAGGCAAAGCTGTCCTGCCGTCACTCACAGAGCATCCAGGTCCCGTGTCTGCAGGAGGCAAGAAGCTGCCTGACTCATCTTGTTCTTGGGTGTCATTTGCATCTGTTCCAACTCGTCGTAACCTCAACACCAGAACAAAGCACGGTGCAATCCTCTGCTTCCCTTCGAAGCACTGATATTTGTGTCTGTTAGCTGCAAGGACTGTGTCAGTCCATCTGATTGGGGCCACGTTTTTGGTGAAACCCTCTGTTTTACCTGGCATAATGTCTTTCTCCAGAGACTGACCCTCCTGATAACGTGTGTGACGTCTCTGAGATGAAGTCTCGCCATCTTTACTTCTAAGGTGTATTGGGCTGTCCTTCTACCAAAGTAGAATGGTTCTTTGTTCTAGCAATCTGTGGTATTCTTCCCCGCACCCTAATTCAGTTTCCCTCCATCACCGACCAGCTTCCACATCCATGTGAGATCACTGAAGATATCCTGGCTTGGGTCAGACCTACCTTAATCCTTCAAAGTATAGCTTTTTCCTTTTTTAGCATTCTACTGAGTTCTTTCATAGAATATTTATCCACTAACTGTAAAACATCTTTTGATTTCTTGATGACTGTTTCCATGGGCGGTGATTGTGGATCTAAGTAAAATTAACTCTGACAATTTCAGTATTTTCTCCTTTTATGATGGTGTTGCCTAGTGGTCCAGCTCTGGGGATGTTTTTCTTTACGTTTAGGTGCAATTCATGCTACAGACTGTAGTCTTCGATCTTCATCGCTAAGTGCTCCTGGTCATCTTGGCTTTGAGCAAGCAAATTTGAGTTATCTGTGTGTAGAAGGTTAGCATGAAATGCCACGTCACCTACCTTGGCCATGTTGTCAGGAGGTGCCAGTCATGGGAAAAGACATCAGGCTGGGGAAAGTAGAGCATCATGAAGAGAGGAAGGCTCTGCAGTAGACGGATTGACAGTGAACGTGGGTGGAATTCACGAGGATGGAGCCGGTGAGGGCAGGCTCTTGGTTGTTCATTGATAGAGTCACTATGAGGAACAGTCACCTTGATGGCACCTTGCAGTGACTCATGGGACAGATACATCCTGAGAGGTAAACTCTGGCTTTCAGCATGACGATGAAGGAGCTCACCTGAACTTTAAAGAGCTCCATCTCCAAATCCCACTTCTGTTTTTCTCTGTTCCCTTCATTCCTAGGTTGACACTCTGCGTGTGGTTACAAAATACAGACTGCCATCAGTTCTAGGTTACGTTCTATCACCTACAGAAAGGGGCCGGCTCTTCAAGGGGCCTTCCAAAGGAAACAGACTCAGAATCAAGGTTTCGTGCAGAGCATAGCATAGCAGGGAGTGTGGGCTCCTCGTCACTTCCCCAGACTGCAGGACCCCTCTTGGTCAGCCCTGAGCCACATCACCATCGGGACTGTGGTCACCCTGAACCACCTGGACAGAGGGCAATGAGGGCGTGGACTTGACAGCAGCCCAGGCAGTGCTGCTGGAAGCTGTCACGGAAGGTTGTTGCGTGGACTGTGACAGTCTGCACGGTCAGCTGGAGGAGAACAAACTCTCTGGGCTTTCTGTCCTCCCTGGCTTGCTGTCACAGAACCGCTCAGATCCACTGCCATCAAGTGTATGGGATTTTTTTTGCCATCAAGTATTTTCTAACGCACAGTAACCCAATCGGGCAGAGAGAGCAGCCTCACTGAGTCTTTGGGCAAGGAAATCCTTACAGAAACAGACCGGTATATCTCTGTCCCACAGCAGCTCGCAGATTCAAAATTACGTGAGGAAAATGGCATTACATCTACAGCGATCTCTTTTAAACACACATAGTTTCTCATCTTCGTGAATGTGTGCCTTTAATATCAGACACAGTGCTTTATGACGACAGCGTCATCTCTGTCCTGAAAACTTGGGTCAGGGATGCTTGGTGGCTGTTTGTTTAGGCTGGTGGCTAACAGGCCCAGAGACCCCAGCAAGATTGTGAAGATAGGCCAATTTCTCGGTTTCATACAATCCAGCTGCAGAATTTCTAGCAAACATTCACTCCAGTCCAGCTCATTGGTGACAATAAGTGAAGACAGTAGAAACCACATATATCACAGATGTTGCTCCAGCTCTGGCTTGAGAAAGGAAAGCACCTCAAGGACTGTTTTAGACAGATACCCGGTGCGTAAGACAGAGCAGGAAGGACCCAGAGCACCTTTGACACAAAGCCCGTCCACACCGAGCTGGTCAAGAGCGTTGTGGCCTCCAGTCCTGGTGCAGCGGGAGCTCATGGCGCTCAATCTCAGCAGAAGGAAGGCGCAACAGAAAAACAGTGCAAAAACATGAGGCTGTTCCTCTCCAGCCATGCATCGTCTTCCCCAGGGTCACAGCCTTCACGCCTGGCTAGGTCTAGACAGAGAAGGAAAAGCTCCCCTGAAGAGTCAAATGGAAGACTTGACATGTATTAGGAGGGGACTAAACGAGTCTCCTGGACCCTGGCGTGGAGTCCATCCCTGACTCACGACGACCTCATGTGTCTCCGAGTAGGTCTGCTGCTCGTTGGGTTTCCATTGACTTTCTCAGCAGCAACCCCCCAAGCCTTCCCTCCCCACCTCTGGATGGACTCACCACCCACTTTCTAGTTCACAGCCAACTGTCTAACCATTGACACGGCCCCAAGATTCCCTCAATCCCAGTATAACTGCCACTGAAATGGAAGCATGCCGCATCTCCCCGTCACAGGGATGCATCAGCACCCCACCGTGAACTTCGGATGTAAACGCTTAGTCTTAGCAAACTGTCCAGCTGAACTCCTTAAGTTAGGGGCTCAGAAGCTCCTAGTCAAAGCAGTAGCCAATGAAAGGTGTCCTAGAGAGCAAACAGCTAACCACCCTGTAAAATACTTAAAAGCTTTGGGACAGCCAGCACACAGCTGTTCAAATCTACCTGGAATCTCAGGGCTTGGAAAGTAACTTCGAGAACTCTCATCGCCGTTTCTGTTCTTTGCTCCCCATGGTACCTCTTAATTATCGGTTAGCATAACCAATAGGTTTTTTAAAGCTGTCGTATTGGTACGTCTGTTCTCTTGGCTGTAAACACCTTTTATTTGTGTTGCTGAAGGTATTTTCGACTTATATATATAAATCTCCAAACTGGTGTGAGTAAACAGAAAATTATTAATGGCTTACTAACTGGAAAGGGTAAGGGAGGCCTGGCTTCTGTCTGGTCCTGGTGAAATAGCTCCAGTGTGTTCATTGGAAACTGTCCCTCTTTCTTCAGAATTTCTCAGCAGATGTCAGGGTCTCGGACAAGGTTCCTCCACCCTCCCAGCTCCCCAGGCTGGACGCCTGGAGGTGCACACCAAGGAGAAGGAGAACCTCCCTCTCCAAAACTTCAGACTCAGTTGCAGGACTCTTTTAGTTATTATGCCCCTTGGGATAGGATGCAAAGGCCCCTGGTGGCGTAGTGTATAAGGTGTGAGACTATTAACTGGAAGATCAGCCGTTCAGACCCACCTGCCACCCTGTGGGATCAAGGTGAGGGATTCTCTTCCCATGAAGGTTCACAGCCTGGGCAGCCCGATGGAGGGGCTCTCGGAGCTGGACTTGAGAGGGGTGCAGTACAGGTGACTCTAGCCTCAGTGGGCTTTTCCTCCATCTATAAAATGGGAACAATAATAGCAGCTTAATGGTGGTTGGAAAAATTAACCACTGAGATTTCTGTAAAGTACAGTTACTGATGCCTGACCTGACCCAGCAAAAGTTAGATGTTGTCAGATCATTTCCAGCACAGAGCAAATTTTAAGGACAGAGTAGAACCATCCCACATGGTGTCCAAAGCTGTGATTTTTTTTTTTATTATAGATGTAAATTGCAGTTCTTTCTCCCAGCGAGTGGCAGCTAGTGAGTTTAAACCACTGAGTTTTCAGTTAACAGAAGAATGCTTATTGCACTGCTCTACCAGGCCCCTTCTAGCCCTAAAGCGCTGGGTGGACCTGAGCTCCTCCAGCTGCCGTCTCTGTCCAGATCTTGTCCACTTGAGCCTCCTTCCAGATACTTTTCATGAGTAGCTATGAAAGGACGTGTGGATGTCCAACAGAGTACTCCAAGCCCAGGAAGTAGAACATTCTGGAAAGGGTCTAGGGTCCTCTTAAAATAAAGACAGCAGATTTTGTGCCCGAGGCCAGCTGCAGTCTGTTAAGGTGTCTGGTCTCAGACAAGATCCCAAGACACATGTGGACGTAGCAGGTGAGGGCCGACGGCTGATGTAGGATGTCTGCCCAAGGTGGAGGACTGGGAGGAGGCAGCCGGGTGACCCTCGGCCACCTGTCCAGAGTGGGGACCCACATCTAAGCTCCGTCTTCCCTCTGTGTTTGCTCCCACAGACGCTGGAAAACCCCAAGTACGAATTGATCATCGAGGCCCAAGATATGGCAGGACTGGACGTTGGGTTAACGGGCACAGCCACCGCCACGATCGTGATCGATGACAAAAACGACCACTCGCCGAAATTCACCCAGAAGGAGGTAAGTGCACACTGACCACCAGCACCGGCCACACTGATGGTCACTGGCCAGCGAAAATCTCCTGCTGGCTTCATTTTCTTGAGCAAAAACACACCTTTTCGAGAGTCCGGATGGTGCGTCATCTCAGTGCTTTTCCACGGTCTCGCCTTATTACCTGCGCGCTGCTGAAAATAGCCAAGCACAGTGAGAACAAAGGCACTGAATCTTCTGAAAGTCCAGGAGAAAAGAACTTTTAATGCCAAAGTGCCATTTTCCACATTTTACTGGTGTTATTTAACGCTGAGTTATGTGGGCCCCGTTGTGATTTTAACATAACAATAACTATTTTTTTCCAATGAGCACAGATTGAGAGGCCAGACGGAACAGCAGCAAGGAGGTAAAGCAGACTTTCTTGGCAATAACAAGGTGGCCCAGGAGCTTATAAATAACAGCAGAGTTAGCTTGTCTCAGGGAGTCATTATTTATTTGCAGCTCCTGGGCCTTTTATGATTACGGATTGTGGTGCTTGGCTCCCATTTATTCCAATGGAGTGATGGTCGGGGAGGGGCTGGGGCGATGTCCAGCCAAACCAGGCAAGGACGGGCAGTGTTGTCTGCTGGGCTCTGTGAGCACTGTGGCGTCCTCGGGGTCAGGGCTGGAGCCAAAGATTGGATGATTCGTTTCTTGGCCAATCCCAGTAGGTCCTGGCATTGACTGGACCTTTAATGAGCATCCGCTGTTGTCCTGTTTGGCTGTGAGATGGGGCCAATGTGCATGCTCTACAAATGAGAGTGTGTGCTGTCAGGCTCTGTACTAGAGACGCGGTGTAACAGCTCGAACGTCACCGATGTCGTGCATGGCAGAAATGGAAGGCAGCTCCAGGGCTGAGCTCTGCCCTGCAGTCTTGTCTCCTTGCCTCTTACTGAGTGTCCACCCTCCAAGGCCTTCAGAAGAGATACTCAGACCTTGTCCTTTCCTCTGTGAGCCTGGGGCTTCCCGCCAGTGGGGGGACAGGTGGGCCTGCTCGGCCTCCTGGTTCCACAGCGGCCGGCCCTCTTGACTTAGGGGGTGGCAGTGCCCCTCTCCCAGGAGTGTCTTAGTCAAGGCTCCAGCCACAGAGCAGCCAGGTGCACAGGTGTTCAGAGGGCTTGGGGTCTACTCCCCCCACCCCACAGGCACACACAGGCACAGCCTTCTAATTGCAGCTCAGGGCTGTTCCCTATTCTCGAACTTCCCTGTCCATGTTCCACGAGACACCCAATCCGGTAATGCCGAGGAAGGACACGGAATGGTTATGACATGAAGATGGTGCTGGGCATGAAGCTCGAATCTGAGTCTGACTGGCGTTCCCGTAAGAAGAGCCTCCTTCTCCGTGTTTGGGAAAGCCCCAGTTCCCCTTTGGAAGGCTCTGTGACTCTGGTGGCGGATCCCATGACACATGGTCTAGACCCAGAGCCCTTGGAGAGGAAGAGTTCCGGGGTGGGGTTGTGGCTGTGGCTGTGGACATGGAGCCAGAAGTGACTCCTAGCTGACCCTCCAGGGGGTTTTCAGAGGCAGTAACAGCACAGATTGCCCATCTACCTCCAGCACAACAGCTGCCAGATTCGAACCATATACCTTCCAGTTGGCAGTGCAACTTCTTACCGCTGATCCCTAAGATGCCTCACTGTGGGACGAGGGCTGGGAGGAAAGCAGTAAAGACCAAGAGGATTTGTGGGGGAGAGAACTTCTGATGAGTCCTAAGACCACGCAGAGTGAGGTCTAGCCCACAGAGGAGAGGACCAGCTGAATGTGCTTCAGGAGAGGGGGGAGGTGAAGCTGATGGAGGTATTGAAATGGAAACTTTAAAAATCTATTATCCTAGTTTGTTGGTTTGTGGCTTCGAGCTGGAATCGGTTCATAGCTGGCCCTCCAGCGGCTTCCCAGAGGCAGCAATTGCACAGGAGGAGATTGCCCATCCTTCTCCTGTAGAGCATCTGGGGGATTTGAACCTGGTGCCTTCAAAAATGGATTGTTGAGACTTAATAACTCAAGTTTTCCTCTTCTTTCCCCCTTGTTTTCTTTTGGTGAGTTCTTTCTGAGGTGCTTGGTATTTGAGTTGCAAGATCACAGTACCTGTCATTTAAAAGGGGAGAGGTCATAAAACTTGAAAGGATCCCAGCCTCCAACTAAAAGATGCTGCTCTTGTTATTGTTGTTGTTTTTTGCCATCAAGTCAAAGCCAAGTTCCAAAGACCTTGGTGTCAGTGGAACTGCCCCGTCGGCACCTGCTGGGGCAGTGGTTAAGCTCAAAGGTTAGAGATGAACATAGTCAAAATTTTCACAAGGAGACAAAGGCCGTTGGTGTAAGCAAGGAGTCACAGCCATGAACCTGAGCTTCAGGAAGCTGTCACGAGGAGACTGGGTCTGAGCCTCCCCTCCTAGAAGTCTTCATGGACCCTCAAGATCACCGAGTGCCCCCACATCTTATTTTCCTTTGTGAGGTCACACGTTTTGTCATTAATACCCTTTCACCAGTCCACTTCCTGGCCACAAGCTCTTTGGTTCCATCTGCGTCTTACAATTTTGCAGGAGCATTTTCTCTAGAAAGTGGACAGGAATTCTAATCTTTCCCCCGGCTGACTGACAGAAATTTTCTCTGTGTTATTGACAGTTTAGAAAGGATTGTTCATAACAACAACAACAACATAATGTATAATGTTAAATACATAAATCTTTAAAATAAAAAAAGGATTGTTCCTCTTCACATAACATTTTCTTCTTGGAATGGTCACATCATTTTCAGGATTGTTGTCATATTTTGGGGGAAATTCCTATCTGGTGGCTCATAAAATGAGCTCTGTAATTGCAAGTCTTCTTGCAGAGGGACTTTCCTTAAATACTCCTCAAATTCATGGCCTTTTGTCCAGTTGTCACCCATGTCCTTGTTTTCTGCTTTAGTATGAATGTTCTCGTCATGGATGGTGGCATGGCAGGTTAAATCAGCTAGGAATTTTAAAGCTTTTTCAATATGTTCGTTATGAGTCATCCTTCTGCCTGTTTGTCAGAGAATCAAGGAGCTGTTTTATTCCACTTGGTAGAAATATGTCTCTTCCTGTTAGTGAGTTGGCTGATACAGAACGTTGTCAGAGTTATTTCTGTTTTATTTCATTCCTTAACTTTACCACTTTTCCCTCCTATTCCATTAACTTTTTTAATAACAATTTTATTGAGATATAATTCACATGCCATAAAGTCTGCTTTTGTTGTTAGGTGGTATTAAGTCCATTCCAGCTCAGCGAGGTCTGTACCGCAGAATGCCACGCTGCCCGGTCCTGCTCCGTCCTCACGGCCGTCGTTGGTTTGAGCTCCGTGCTGCTGGCACCGTGTCAGTCCTTCTCTTTGAGGGTCTCTTTAGTCTGGAGTTCCTCGAGACCCGTCTGCCATGGGTGACTCTGCTGGTGTTTGAAATACTGGTTGCAACACTTCCAGTGTCACAGAACCATAGAAGCCGCCACAGCAGGACAACCAGCAGACAAGTAGGGACCGTAAAATGTGCACTCTGTAAACGTGTGGGTCGTTGGCTTTTAGTGTGTCCCTAAGTCCTTTCTGGTGGTGCAGTGGCTCAGCGCTAAGCTCTTCACCAGCAGATCAGAGGTTTGAACTCACCAGCACTCCCTGCCAGGAGAATGTGGCGGCCGGCTCCCACCGAGTGCCCAGCCTTGCTAACACTGCACGACCTCCAGGCCCACTCGGGGTTGGAACGGCTGTGGAGACAGCGGATTTTATCTACCTCAGAATAGGTTCATCACTCCACATACCACTCCATTCCCTGTGCTCCTGCAGCCCCCCAGCAACAACGGAGCTCTCTTCTAATTCTGAGGATGTGTTGATTCTGGTCATTTGGTGTGAGTGGAATTTTCTAATAGGTGGCTTTTTTGAAATTGATTTTTTTTTTCATTTGGCCGAGTGTCCTCAACCTTATGCATGAGGTGTCACGACTCAGCGCTTCATTCCTCCAGACGGTCAGAAAACACCCTCTCCTCCCATCTGTGAATATGGAGCATTTGACGTATCCATCCGTCAGTTGACGGGCATCTGAGTTGTGTTTTTGGCCTTTTTTGGTTGTTTTTTGGTGGGTTGAGTTTTTGTTGATTGGTTGGTTTGCTTTGGTGTGATGAGTTTTGTTGGTTAATATAAATATTGATGAGCAATCCATTAACGTTTTATCTGAATTCTCTCTCAATGCCCTCACAGTTAGAATGAAATATAAGTTACCTTTAGTCTGATTCCAATCAAGAGTCTGAAACTTCTTGTTTTATTGAACAAAGAAGTTTTTCTAAATTGTAGCTAGTGTGACTGGTTCAACTTCTTTTTCATAAAAATAAAACTTCCCCAAAAAAAGTAAGATTGTGAGGCTGACACAGGATAGGACAAGGCTCATATCTGCTGTTCCTGGGGTCACTGTGTGAGACGTACTTGATGTGAGGGCACTAACAGCAACAACAGAGGTGAAGTTAGAACTGGAGTTTGGTGTGGCCATCTGTAGGGGGCTGCACTGCGGAGAGCCATGCTTTTCTGGCTTCAGATCCACCCGGGACCTGGAGTGAGGAAGACGGATGTCCTCTCTCCATGTGATTTACGTGCTCAGAGGGCCAACCAAGCCATTTCTGCTCCAACAGCACTGAGTGCATTCTGGGTGTCCAGGGGGCGTGAATACACATGGCCAAGCCTCCAGAATTCCAGGCAGTAGAAAACCCCCTCCTTCCTTTCCTTTAGTGAAACCCCCTCCTTCCGTGGGAGCTGGCCTCCTAGTAGAGCCTTTGAAATGCAGCTGCACCTGTGTTTCAACCTGGATCCTATAATTACACAGTCTGAGTGTTCAACATGCAGACATCCAGGAAGCCGACCACCTATTTCAATTATCTGATTCCAGTGACTTTCCTGGAGGATGGAGTCGAAGACATTTTAGCAAGCAGATAAATCTTTAAAAGGGATTGAAGCTTTTTCTAAACAGTCTAGACTCCCTCTCCCAAGGACGCT